CAGGGCTGGGAGGGCGCTGAGAACTGGGGATGTCAGGGCTGGGAGGGTGCTGAGAACAGGGGATGGCAGGGCTGAGAGGGAGCTTAGAACAGGGGATGTCAGAGTAAGATTGGAGCTTGGAGATCAAGTAGCCCAAGTCCTTTTTCCTGTAAGAAGGTGGAGGCTTCACTATGACACAGGACTTTTCTAAGGTCCCCCAGTTATTAAGCAGTGGAGCCAGGCTTCCAACCCAAATGTCTTAGCAGTCTCCATGTTGCTTGGGTGGGGCACAGCCCTGGGGGGGCTCTTCCTCCCCCTCCCTCTCTTCCTCTCTTCCTCCCTCCTCCTCCTCTGTGGTTGCCTTTCATTCATCTCTCCTCCTGGCCCTTCCCTCTTGCTCCAACCTGGAACAATGGGCTGAGATATTGGAGGCTTTAATCTAGAGTAAGGTGGAGCAGAGGTAGGGGGCTTAAAGAGGCCTCAAATAAAAGATGACAATGACAATAATAGTCTCTAGCATTGCACTTTACACATATTATCTCATTTGATCCTTCTAACAACCCTGTGAGGTAGGGGCTAGTATTATCCCCATTTTATGGATGAGGAAACTGAGGCAGGCAGCAGTGAAGTGACGTGTCCAGTGCCTCACAGCTAGTAAGATTTGAACTTAGGTATTGCAGACTCCAAGTACTCCCCCCCCCCATCCATCCATCTACTCTAGCACACCCTGCTCCAACATCTGCATCAGTCCCTACTCAGAAGAAGAACAGCCTCTCTCCTGTCCTCCCTGGCCTCCGCTTCTGCATGAAGCCTTTCCTGGTCCTGTCCACTGCCAGGGCCTCCCTCAGAGATGACGCTCTGTCCACTGGGTCTGTCTCTCGGGCTTAGCTGGTTATCATGTCTTCTCTCCCCCATTAGCCTGTGAACCCCTCAAGGGCAGGGAACGTTGGGGCTTTTTCTTGATCCGACTGAGAGACCATCCACTCCAGCCCTCAGATTTTACAGATGAGGAAACTGAGGCTCAGAGAGCCCAACACCACCCAACTAGTCAGTGTTCTGTGAGTAGAATAATGGTGGCCTGACATCCAAATCGTCTTCCTTTCTCCTCTTTCTCAGTGTCTCTCTCTGTCTCTTTATGTGTTGGCCTTGTGTTGCTGAACCCCTGATTTTCTCAGTGCGCCCCAGGTCTGTGTGGTAAGGAGGATTGGAGTCTGGCTCATAGCCCTCACTCATAATCTTCATGGGTCTGCCAGCAGCTAAAGGTTCAGGAGGATGGGAGAGGAATAAGAAGAGAGGACCTGATGGGGTAGGAGGTGATCAGAAGTGAGTGGGAGGCCTTCTTCAGGGTGCTCCATAAACTGGGAAGAGCTAGGGAAATAGGACTTAGTGTTTCTGATTGACTGTGGAGGAAGATGAGGCCAGAGAGGTTGCCTATATTATGGAGGCATCCAGAGAAGGCCTGGAGGATCCAGCTGATGGCCAGTTGACAGCCTGGGCCCTTTGGGAACAGAAGCCAGCTGTCCCTCTCCCCTCCCTGGCCGGGGACTTCTTATCAAGTCCTGGTCTGGGAGGCTGAGGGCTTCCCCTGCCTCCCACCATGGGAATCAGGGCCTCAAGAAGGGAGAGGGTGAGTGGCTGGTGCTGGAGATGGCTGGAAGCCAATGTCCAACCCTGCCTCCCACTGTCCCCTCGGCAGCTGCCTGGTGGAGGAGGCCTGAGGGAACCTCCAAGCGGTCTTTCGCTCCCTGCCAGGCGACTGCTGCCTTATTTCAGGGCCCCTTTCTGGCATTATTAATCTTGACTCTGTGCCCTCTTGCCCTCGCTCCCCTCTTCATTCCTGCCGGCTGGGGTCTTTGAAGTGTGTTTTCTTTTTTTCAATAATTTATCATTTTTTCTTCTAAAAGTGTTTTAAGAAGGGCCAAGAGAGAAAAATCCGTTTGTCTTCTTCTCCCATCTTCCTTTTTCCCTTTCCTTGTATCTTTTTTCTCTCTCTGTATGTTTCTGAGCCTCTGTGTGTGTGTGTCTCCCTCCCTCCTTCTCTCCATCCCACTCCTTCTTCCCTCCCTCCTCCTTTAGAATGTAGTAAATTCCTTGTCTCTGAAGGGCTTTTTTTTTTATTAAAAATTTTTTTAAGATCTTTTTTTATAGAAGTTTTTTTTTACTCTTTTTAAATTTTTTTTATTAATTTATTTTGATTTATCAACAATCACTTCCATATGCTTTTGAGTTTAAAATTTTTCTCCCCCTTCTTCCTCACCACCCTCCCCAAGACAGTGCACAATCTGATATAAGCTATACTTGCACATTCCTATTAAACATATTTTCACATTAGTGATGTTGTAAGTAAGAATTAGAACCAATAGGAGGAACCACCAGAAAGAGGAAACAAAACTCAACAGAAGAGAAAAAAAAATGGCAAATAGTGTGCTTCAATCTGCATTCACATTCCATAGTTCTTTCTTTGGATGTGGATAGTTTAAGATCTTAAAAAGGAAGCAAGATGCCCCTTTTTGGGGAGATGTCAAGGGGCTTCCTGGACTGGACACCCTTCCTGATTTTGATGATAATAATAGCATTTGTAGAGCACTTTGTAATATGCAAAGCACTTTCCACATGTGCTCTTCCACACTTTCCAGTCTCAGTGTGTGTCTGTCAGCCTTCCTTTCTCTCTCTCTCTCTCTCTCTCTCTCTCTCTCTCTCTCTCTCTC